ATCTAAAGTGCCAGCCCACGTTTCAACTTTCTATCTTTGTTGAGTCTTCCTCTATAATCAGCCTCCTTTATTTGAAGAAAAGTGTACTTTAAGAACACACTACAGCCAATAAATCAATAAACATATCTATAATAATAAAAGGGTAATATGCTAATTAGACCTGACATCCTTCCGGACGTCCTTCCTGACAAAGCCGGGGCCGGAGGGAAGGCAGCCAGGTCCTGGGTGCCTGCGGGCGGCCTGAGGAAAGCCAGCCCAGGTCCTGGGTACCGGAGGGAAGCCAGTGCTGGCAGCCGGGGGAAGGAGCAGCCCAGGTCCTGGATACCGGAGGGAAGCCAGTGCTGGCAGCCGGGGGAAGGAAGGTCTACTCTTGCACGAATTTTCGTGCATCGGGCCTCTAGTAGAAAGATTAAACGTATGATGATTTATTAATGGTACTGCTCATCTGACTCATTGGAAATCCTTTTCTATACCCCATTTTAAAAGAATCTTTTATTTGGCCTTCAAGACAGAGCATCATTACCATAAAAACCCTAAACTATGCCAAGTTAATAAATTTAAAATTCAAATCCTTTTTCACTGGTTTGCATTTGCTTTTCTGATAAAGAGAATAACATTAAGATTTATTGAGTGACATCTGGTTAATTAAATGTCTATTTCCTCCTGCCTGTTAAAGAGATCATAACACAGAAACACAACATTGGGAGAATAATTAAAGTGCACCCAAAGAGTAGGACTAACCTTGTAATTCACTGTAATTAAAAATAAAACAAGAGCAATATGCTAAGAGAATTGCCTGTCTTAATCAGGACACCTGTCTGTACATTTGAAATTTTATTGTGGAAGTCTCCATTTTGCTTCTCTCCATTTTTGGGTGCAATTAAAAATTCAACTTTCCACAGACCTCTTTTTGACAAATATTTTTACTTTCAGCCTTCAGGGAATCTCACCTCTTAAAAGACCAAAAGTAGCCTAGCTGGCATGGCTCAGTGAGTGGTTGAGCATCTACCTATAAACCATGCCTCGATTCCCAGTCAGGGCACAGGCCCGGGTTTCGGGCTCAATCCCCAGTGTGGGGCATGCAGGAGGCAGCCAATCAATGATTCTCTCTCATTATTGATGTTTATTTCTCTCTCTCCTTCTCCCTTCCTCTCTGAAATCAATAAAAATGTATTTAAAAATTTTTTAAGACCAAAAGAGACCTTCTAACTGCCTCTACACAAGGACAAAGACCCTGTGTGTGTCCAGGGAAGGAGCAGTAATAGGGTCAGCCAGGAGAGGGTACCTTGCCTGACAGCAGCTGTTTCTGGGGGAGGGCAGTGATCCTGGGCCTTGGCACTGTTCAGACAGCTATGACCAAGGTTGCAGGTGACATCCTAACAATGACCTCTTAAATAGAGAATAAACTAATAGGAATAGTTAACATAAAACTCCCCCATATATTAATAACCACATATTTAGTGTTTTCTTTGTTTCTAAGAGAAGAAATTGACCCACTTAATCTTTCCAAATAGCATATAGACCAAATATTAGAGGAAATATAACCTAATTGTGTCCCCCAAACGTTGTTTCCCTTAGAAAAAAGGGAGGAGTAGTTGAAAAGGATTAGCGAGATCTCACACCTTCATCTCCAAACAGAGGCTGTTACACCTCTGCTCCAAAGTGGCAGTGTAGATCCTTAGCTCAACACACTATATTTGAGTCTTGATTTCAGTATTTTCTAAATATGTGTCACTGGCCGCATCATTTATCCTTAGAATCATTTCCCTCATAATGATAATTATGCTAATTGGGCCTGTTTATTGTGAGGATTAAATAAGATAACATATGCTAAATGCCTGCCTCCTAGTAATGGCATCTATTATTATTTCTTTTAATTTAGTCAAGACTGTGACATAGCTTTGTGGGCTCAATTGCATCTGTCCCAAATTCATATGTTGGATATTCAACTCCCAATACCTCAAATGTAACCATATTTGGAGATAGGGCTTTAAAGAGGGAATTGTGATTAAATGAGGTCATACGAGTAGACTCTAATTCAATATTAGTGCTCTTATCAGAAGAGGGAGGGACACCAGGGATGCGCAAGCACAGATAAAAGGCCACCTGAGGACACAGCAATAAGACAGCCATCTATAAGCCAAGGAGAGAGGACCCAGGAGAAACCAATCCTGCCAGCACTTTAATCTTGGACCTGTAGCCTCCAAAACTATGAGAGAATAAATTTCTGTTGTGTAAAGCCACTCAGTCTGTGGTATTTTTATCATGGCAGCCATAGCAAACCAATACACATAGTGTAGGAAAAAAGTCTGAGATCCCATTCCCCATCACTGAAAAAAGGTCACCTCCATGTTTTCTTTATATTAACATCCCAGGTAATGAAAGAAACAAACCTCCACAAATCATCAACATTTGTGTCATTGTTTTGTTTCGTGTTGTGGTTTGTAAGTCATTAACATTGGCCTGGAAATAAGATGGGCTCTACTGTGATTCCTTCAATAAAACCCCGGGATTTATGGACTAGCCCTTAACTTCTCTGGACCAGAGTTTCCTGAGAAAATTGGACGAGATAACCCAGATCATAAGACTTTATGTTACTTACTGATAAAATGGTGACTTACAGATATCTTTAGCAGAAAAGAGAGTTCAATTAATTACAACATCCTCAACTCAAATACTTTTGTTTCTTCCCATGACTGTTTAAACTTCACTTCTTTAAATTCTATTTATTCTTCAAAGTATATGTCATGCTCACTATCTCCATGAGGCTTTCCAAATCCTGTGAACTCAGATCTCTAGCATCTTCCTTTGGACTCCCATGATACATGGCTTTCATTTTTCTAGCATCGTCAAGTTCAACTCAGTGTCATTGTTTCTTTTGTCCTATCTTGACTCTCCCTCATTCCCAAAGCTACTCGTTGAACTGCCTTTATTTTTTGTGTGGTTACCCTTTAATATCCAGTATAGCTCCCTCCACCATGTAAACGTGCAATCATCAATAATTAAATTTAACTAGATTAAGTTTTCTTTAATGAAATATTTCCTATGATGAATATTTATTATATTGTTAATAAGTTTCTATGTCATTAAAACAACATTTTACCCTAAAGTTAAAACTATCTATAATAATACCAGTAAAAGCATAATATGCAAATCAACCGAACGGCCGAACAGCAGAACGACCGTCTGGATGACCTTCCGGATGAAGCCGGGGCTGCGAGGGCCTACTCTTGTACGAATTTCATGCATTGGGCCTCTAGTAAGACTATAACATGCATTGGGGTTGAGATGAAATATCTGAATAGATAAAATATTAATAGAACACTTAAAACATTTCTTCTGGTGGGTAACTCCAGTTGAGATAATGGTTGTGTGAATGTTTCATAAAAGGTAAATTATGTAAGCATCACATTTTGGAAGTATTCTGTATTGATAGAATATAGAACATCATTTTCTTATAACCGTAAAACAGAGATTTCACTGAAGATAGAGATAAAATCTATTTTTGTACTTACCCAATTTGACAGAGTTACGGCACATCAATAAGGAACATTTCGTAACCTTTTTTTAAAAAACAAAGCTGAACTATACTTTTTAAAAGATTCAGTTTTTAATATCTGAAAAGGGCATATCAGTATTTTTATTTTTTTAATGTTTTTTTTTATTCCCAAGATGATGACTAGCAAATCAGTAATAACACACAATCACCCAGCCTGAGAATTGCACTGACTGAAACAACTGCACCAGTTTTGTCTGGTCGGTCAGCTCTTGGTTATCCATTCTTTTGTAGCCAGTGAAAGATGCTTATTCCATGAATGCTCCATATTAAGAAATGGAGTAAGTTATAATAGGTGCAACAAATGTTTCACGGCTATACCACAAACAAAATAACCTTTCTAAATTTCCCTATATCATCCCCTAGCTTATCCCTTTAATTCACTTCTATCTGATTTAACTTAATCCAGCTCAGGCAGTTTCCTTCTCAATGCCTCTCTGCAGTAATATTTGGGTTTCTAATCCCCCACCACCACCCTAAATATTGTGATATGACCACAACTATGCAGTAGATGTGCCCCCAGCAGAAATCAGTGTTGTCTACCTAAGCAGGAGGACACAGAGAGAACTGACCTCCATGATGCCTTTTGTAAGTTAATGTTGCCATTTATGCAACATATTTCATTTCACCAGCCTGAAAGTAACTGGTTATTGACTTGAATGAAATGTTCACTAATTACAGAAATAGACCATGAAAGTTTTGTGGAATTATCTCATATTGTCATAGTCTCACCTCACACATCATATTGGGTCAATATTTTATATTAATTGTGACCTTTCGAGGTCTTCTTTAGTATTTCAATGGTTTTCTGGTGTTTGTTAATATTAGTCCTCCATCCCTCTGCAATAAAAGTAGTTTCACATTCTGCCTCTGGCACAGTTGCAGTACCCAGAGCAAAGCTCACATTGGGAAACATGATCAATTCTTCCAAAAGCACTGGGCTTTCCCAGAGGTTCAGTAATTATTTTAGTTGCCTCCATCTAATAATATGGGAAATTTTTATAATGTTTTCATTAGCATTTAAAAAAATAAATTTTATTTTACTCCAGAAAGACATTAAGCTAGATCTGCATGCAAACAACTATTAATGCAATAGTTCAGTATACCCCAAATTCATATGATCTCATTTTATAATTTAATTCCCTAAATATCACTCACCTTGATATCTTGGTTATTCTTGTTGTTGCTCTCAAAGCCTAAAATCTCATTTGTGCAACAAAATATCCTATTTTTGCAACCGAGTAATGAGTATAGTTAAGGTTTCCTAAGGGGTTTCTACTGTATACAAAAACAAAATTTGTACTCCTGGTATGTTGAATAACTAAACTCTATATTTACCCATTCAACTACTTGTATTCATAAATGCTCTAGACTTTATACCCCTAATTAGCATTCATAGTATCCCAGGTATCCACAGATGTGTTATCTGCTAATGCATACTTACCTTTCAATGGATTAAGAAAAAATGCTGAGAGATTTCTTTCCCATTGTGCCAAATGTGCTTTTCTGCTATTTTAGAAATAACTAAAAGTAAAAGAAAAAATAAATAAACAATAAATAAACAAACAAATAAATAAATAAAGTGGGGTTTTTTCTACTTGAGATTGGGCCCAGGATCTCTCATGAACCTATGGTAGAGACTATGGAGATAAGAAAATCTTACACTGGAATTGAGCAAATGAATAAAGGGATGGTGACTGGTGGGATCTGGGTTTCTCCCTGTTGAAAAGTTACAGATAAACTAGAAGCCAGAAATAACTATGTAGTACCGAATTAGAGTAAAAAACATCATTATGAACTCATGTTTACCTTAAAATATAGGATGCCCCCCCCCCAATTTTTACGCACACTTTGAAGGTAGTGTATTTTATATCAAAATTGAGCTATTAGCTGTTAAAGTATGTATACATTTTTGGGGGGACACCTTGAAAATACAGATGGATACAGAAATAATTTTATATATGTGTGAATATATGGGTTAATACATCCTTTATAATAAAAGCCTAATAAGCAAATTGTCCCCTCAACAGAGAGTTCGACTGGGAGTTCGACTGCTCACTATGACGTGCACTGACCACCAGGGGGGTCAGCGAGGAACATGGTGGTCATTGGCGACAGCTGTGACCTCTCGCCAGTTACCCGAGGGTGGGGGTGACAGGAATAGAGGGTGTCCGCAAAGCTCGCTCTCACTCCCCCTACTACCCTCCCCCAGGGCGCCAGGGCTTGCACGCCAGGAAAGCACCCTGTTCAGGTGCCGGGCACTCATGAGAAGCCCACCCCACACCCATGCAGTGTCTTCTGGGTGAGCTGGGCCGCAGCCGCCAGGACTGCAGGGGCTGGTGGGGCTTCCCGTGGGTTCGCGCAGGCCGGTCTGCAAGGCTGGCCAGGAGAGAGTGTGCTGCCTGCCCGGCTTCTGTGCAGCACCGCTGGGCACCCCAGAGGCCCAGGCTGTGCCCCTGTCAGCGGCATCCGGCTACGCTCACTGCTTCTTCATGTGGGGACTTGGGCACTGTGACTCAGGCGGAGGGGGACATGCGGGGGCTCGGGGACCCAGGTGCTGCCCAGGGCCTAGAGGTCAGCTGGAACCTGCCCTTCGACGCCAGACGCTCACTCTTCAATCACTGTCTAGGGACTGCACCCGTGCACGAATTTCATGCACCGGGCCTCTAGTAGACATATTTTCCTATTTCTGCCCACTGAGAGGGCCTGGAAACAATGACATCCCAGCAGCAATGACCACATCCAATGCTCAGATCTTGGTTTCTAATGCCATTTTCCAATAATAGGAACCAAGCACTTGGAGGAATGGCTGATTCTAAGACTTAAGCAGGGAATATACAAGATGAGCCTACAGACTCCTGCAGTGCCAGAAAGTAAGAAAATGCTCAATAAACAAAATGATGGGGGTGTGTCAAAGGAATACATAAGCCAACCTGGAAGTATTCCCAAAAGCCAAAAATAACGTAATCTGAGCAGCAAAATAAATTCGCTTATGTATTATAACCCAGAGCATAAAATTCATATTTATGAGCCCATTGTTATATAAATAAATTATTCAATAAATAAACGGAAAGAGGAGAAAAATCTCTAATGCAGAAGAATTCCAAATAATTTATGTCGATACTGCCCCCTCAAAGAAGTGAAGTTTAACTCCTCACAGCCTGAGTGTGGGCTGCACTTACTGACTTGCTTTCTCAAGCATGCAAAGGGGTGGGGATAAATTTACAGTGGAGAAACCTGGCAAATACTAGGTGATCAAATTTAACATCATCATTGCCAAGTAATGTTTATAGCATGTGCCCTTGATGTAACATGATGAGAAGAGTACTTTACCTCTGAGGTATTATTTCCAAAATTTCATAAGTCCAGACTGATCCAGAGAAAAGAACATTGGACAAACCCAAATTGAGGAACTTTTACTCAAAACTGTCAAAGTCATCAAAACGATGAAAATCTGAGAAAATGTCACAGCTAAGAAAGCCTAAAGAGTTATGGTAACTAAATGTAATGTGTTTTCTGTGGCAATGGGATCCTGGGGCAAAAAAATGAACATTAGGGAAAACGTAATTAAAGTATAGAGTTCAGTTCATTGTAATGTACCAATGTTGATTCCTTAGTTGTAACAAATGTACCATAGGAATGCAACATATTAACAAATAGGGGGAACTTGGTGAGGTGTACATGGGAACACTTTACTATCTTTGCAACTTTTCTGTAAACTGAAAACTATTCTAAAAGAAAAGTTTTCTTAATTTTTAAAAAAATGTAACAGAAGTTTCAGTCTGTTTCCTAAAATAAGGAGCTCTGATTTAATATTGTTTTTTTGTTCTGGGACAACCAATACAATAGACCTTTTAATTATGAAAATACAAAGCAAGCGCACATCATTTGTTCTTAAGGAAGACCTAACAGCAGTGAACTGACCCAAATGGCAGATATTTCAGAAGGAGAAGCTGAGCAGTCTGTTTGATTAGGTAAACTGCCTATTTGGTAAAGCTTGGCAGATTTCTGACTATACAGTCTTTGTTTTTCACATTAGAAAAAACATGAATACATGTAAAATGATTGGGTGCTCAGACTGACCATGAGAATTTGAATTGGAGAGCACCCTGGAAAGAACATGCAAGCAAATATTTACAAATCACCTGCAAGATACTATTCCATGATAGACTGGACTAGTGCAGGGTGTGGTCACTGTATAAGAAATTTGAACATACGCTTAGAATGCTTAATTTACTCCTATCTGCATAATCGGGAAAATGCACCTCTCCTACTTTAAAAAAAATGTATCTTTATTGATTTTTTTTTTAGGAAGAGTTTTTTCTTTTGAAAAAAGCTTGTTATTTTCTTCTATACAAACTTTCATCATTATTATTTTTAGTATATAAATGCACAACAATCTTTTTTTTAAGAACATGTAGCATTGGAACAAAGGTGACTTTAAGAAGGTGGCACAACTGTTTCAAAAAGATTTGGGGGAAAAAGTGAAGCTGACCAAGTCATAAATTGGGGTCACTTGTTGAAGTCCTGCGGATGGAAAAGTACATCTTTCATTTAAAACATGGTCTTGTGCTTATGAATCAGTAGAGGATGTTGCTCCATCCTTGTCTGGAAACAGCTGCTAATGTTGGATCAATATCAGGTGTGGGGTGTGTAGAACATAGACCCACACACCCACAACGTATCTTTATTGTTGAAAGTATTACAGATGCCCCCCTTCTGCTTTTTCATTCAAATTCTGCTCCAAAGTCAAGCAAAATTGACTTTATCCTTTGGACTCCGTCACTAACACCAAATGACTGCTGCCTTGTTAATGATTAAGAAAAATCATAAAAGCATTCTTTTTCTTTAAGGTGCCCACTTTTAAAGTATTAGTAACCAATTAAAAATTTTAATTGGGCCAAATTAAATATATCTGTAGTATGAATTTGGACTGAAGGCCATCATTTATATTCTGGCCTAGCTACATTAGTATAACTCTTGGGTTTTGTTATATATTCAATTATACAATTGAAAAATATACAATTAAAAAATATGTATCTTCAGTATGATGGAAGAATCAAATTTTTAAAAGGTTGATATAGAATGAGGACCTAGAAGGAAATAGGCATAGTCATTTTAGGGAAACAGGGCAGTGGGAGCAGGGGTGGTAAATTCTTTTAAAAATTAGTAGATTCCAGAAGATATTAAATATAAAGAAACTAGTGGCCTGGTGCATGAAATTCGTGCATGGCGGGGTGGGGGAGGTTCCCTTAGCCCTGCCTGCACCCTCTCCAATCGGGGACCCCTTGAGGGATGTCCAACTACCAGTTTAGGCTCGATCTGGGCCCCTAGCTCCTAACTACTCACCTGCCTGCCTGATCACTCTGAACTGCCTCTGCCTGATTGTCTGATCACCCCTTACCTCTCTGCCTGCCTGCTTGATCGCCCCTAACTGCCCTCGCCTCCCGGCCTGATATCGCCCCCAACTGCCCTCCCCTGCAGGCCTCATCTTGCCCCCAACTGCTCCCCCCTCCCGGCCTGATCTCACCTCCAATGGCCCTCCCCTGCCGGCCTGGTTGCCCCCAACTGCCCTCCCCTGCCGACCTGATCCCCCCTACCTGCCTCTGCCTCAGCCCCCACCACCATGGCTTTGTCCAGAAGGAAGTCAGACATCTGGAAGATGGCCGGTCAACCCAGTCTAATTAGCATATTACCCTTTTATTAGTATAGATAGATTATATAGGATAGGATTGCTTAAATGGGGGGGGGGGTCTTTTTCAGCAGGAGGAGATGCTCCTGGCAGACAAAAATACATAATCCCTATATCTGGATTGATAGCCAGCCATATGCACCATACTGCCAAACCGGTCATTAAAAAATTGAACCGCTTTCTTATACCCTACACCAAACAGCTGATCTCCTTAAAACCCCTCCTAAGCCCCCACCTTAGATTCTGCCTTTGCAGTTCATCCAGATTAGGTTCTGATTGGTTGGTTTCTATGCCAGTCAACATCAAAAGCTCCACCTCCTAGGCAGCCATTGGCTCCTCACAGTTCACCCAGACTTGGTTCTGATTGGTCGGTTTCTATGCCAGTCAGTGTCTATGGGCCTATCTCCGGGCCTGATCAAAGAGGCGGGGCTGATCAGCAGCCACCCCAGGCTGCTGGGAGGGAGCTGAGCTGCTGACCTCTTGGAGAGAGAGGGAGGCGTGCTTCTGGCGAGGCCCAGAGAGAGAAAGAAGCAAAGGCTGATCAGCAACTGCCATAGAGGCTGCAAATCAGACCCTACTTCTCTCTCTGGGTCTTACCAGCAGCAGCAGCAGCTGCTGATCAGCCCTGCCTCTCTCTCTCTCTCTCTCTCTCTCTCTCTGAGAGGTCATTAGTTCAGTCCGCTTGCCAGTCCCCGCTCACCCAAGCCTGCTGCGTGGGCAGCCTGGCATTCAGTCTTCCCTTCGGTCTTTTTGGACGTTATGGACCCTGGCTCTTTATATATATAGCTTCTAGAATCTATTTCACTCCCAACTTCATTTCATTTATCAATTT